TCCTGTTTACTTTTAATATCAAGGAGATAAAATTACACATTATGGAGAGCAAGCTTTTGTCTTGTTTTAAGTGGGGGAGATTGAAGTTTAGAAAGGGTAACTTGCAAAGGTTACAAAGTGAAACTACAACTTGAAGTGGAAGTATTTAAACTTATTTTTTTGTGTGGAACATCTAGAATGAACCCACATTCAAATCATTCTTCTCCCACATCCTCCCAAACCAGACAAGAATATTAGCATGCTTTTACATTCCTCTTCACCCTCACATATTGACTCCATTTAGCACTGTGTTTATCAAGGAATTTTTTTTATAAATAAGATTTTTATTTTGGAGTAATTTTAGATTTACAGAAAAGTTGCAAAGTAGTAAACAGAGTTCCCGTATACTTCTCACCTAGTTTTAACTTCACCTAAATGTTATTATCTTACATTGTTATTGTGGTACATTATAAAAACAAAGAAACCAACACTAGTACATTACTATTAACTACATTTTATTTATTTATTTATTAAAAGATTTTATTTATTTGTCAGAGAGAGTGAGCATAGGCAGACAGAGAGGCAGGCAGAGAGAAGCAGGCTCCCTGCTGGGCAAGGAGCCCGACATGGGACTCGATCCCAGGATGCTGGGATCATGACCTGAGCCGAAGGCAGCCGCTTAACCAACTGAGCCACCCAGGCGTCCCTATTTATTTATTTTTAAAGATTTTACTTATTTATTTGAGAGAGAGAGAGAGAGAGAGAGAGAGAGAGAGAATGCATGAGGGAGAAGCAGAGGGAGAAGCAGACTTTTGCTGAGCAAGGAGCTGGTTGCAGGACTTGAACCTAGGACTCTGGGATCATGACCTGAGCTGAAGGCAGATGCTTAAATGACTAAGCCACCCAGGCACCCCACTATTAACTACATTTTAGACTTTATTTGGATTCTACAAGTTTTCCTTTAATGTCCTTTTTTCTGTTCCAGGATCCAGTCCAAGGCACCACACTGCATTTATTTGTTATGTCTCCTTGGTCTGGAAACTCGTAATTTCTCAGTCTTCCTTGTTTTTGATGATCTTGACACTTTTTAAAAAATTACCAGTTTTTTGTTTTTTTTTTTTAGTAATACCCACACCCACTCTGAGGCTCAAACTCACAACCCTGAGTTCAACAGTCGCATGCTCTTCCAACTGAGCCAGCTAAGCACCCTTGATCTTGACACTTTCAAGTACTGCTGAGGTATTTTGTGGAATACTCTTCAATTTGGGTTTGGATGAAGTGTTTCTCATGATTAGGTTTCTGGAAGGAAGGCCACAGAAGTGAAATGCCCTTCTTGATTCATCAAATCAGGGGTGCATAACAACACTGGTGATGTTAACCTTCATTACTTGGCTTAAGGTGGTGTCTGCCAGGTTTCTCCACTGAATAGTTCTCTTTCCATACTCAATTCTTTAGAAGTGAGTCACCTAGCTCCACCTACTGGAAAAGAAAGTATCTACATAAGTTATTCAGAATTCTGTAGCAAAGATTTAGCTCTTCTCCCTTATCTACTCCTATCTAATCAGTCTATCCATTGAATTATTATTATTATTATTTATTCACTTGCTAATTTATTTATATCAGTATGTACTCATGGATAGTTATTTTATGCTTGGGGTTGCAATCCAGTACTATGTTATTTATTTTGTTGCTCAAATTGTTCTAACTTTGCCATTGGGAGTTTATTCAGGCTCCTGTATCCCTTTGACATACCCTTATCCTCTTTTTTTTTTTTGAGTACTGCCTTACTTTCTGGAGCTTCAGGCTCCTTGATTTCCTGTCCCAGATCCTAAGATCTGGGAGCTGGGTATGCTGGTTACTCTTGGGGTATTACTGCTTCTAGGTCCTCTCAGGGGACAGGGCTAGGTAATACACATTTGTATGTGTACCCTATGAATTTTAAATCCCCAACTGCTATTCATTTCTTTTTTTATTATGTGTTTCATCAACAACTACTTAAACAAGTTTTACTGGGGTTTTAGTGCTGGTGACTACTGTTTTATTCTCAGGTCTTCTTTCAAACGGGTTCATTTCTCATTCTGCTGAAGAGGTCTGTAAGAAGTAAACCTTGAGTCCTTGAATATTCAACAATATCTATTTTGCCCTCAAATAGGTAAAATATAAATTACAGAATTAAAGTTATTTCTCTCACAACATTCAAGATATTGTTTTATTGTGTTCTAGCACCAATTATCATCAAAAAGAAGTCAAATGCCAATCCAATTCTTAACTCCTTTGCAGACAAGTTCTCAAATGCCAGACTTGTCTTTCCTTAGCTCTTTGAAGTTTTCTTCTATTTCATCCACTGTCTGTTCTCTCTTTTCTCTCCCTTCTGGAGCTCCTATTAACAACTTTGGGAGCTTCTTGAGTGATTCCTCATGTCTCAATTTTTCTCTACATTATCTCTTGGTCTTCATGTGCCCAGGTAACTTGTCTTCTAGTTACAAGCTTGTTTCAACTCTAACTGTTCCAATATTCAGCCCATTTACTGAGTTTTAGATTTTCACAATTTCCAAGTTGACCTTTTTAGCACAAATCCAGTCTTAGTAATTTAATGTTTTCTTTCCCTGAAGACTTATTTACCTTAAAGTTGTTTTCATTCTCTATTCATATTCTCATGTGTTATCTTTTCTGTTTATTAAAATTTGGTGCCTCCCTTTCATAGTGTTGGTTTGGCTACTCTCGGTTAACTGCTACTGTTTTTTGTTTCAAAAATCATTGTTCAGGGGCACCTGGGTGGCTCGTCAGTTAAGCATCCAACTCTTGATCTCAGCTCAGGTCTTGACCTCAGGGTCTTAAGTTCAAGCCCTATGTTGGGCTCCACGCTGGACAATGAGCATACTTAAAGAATAAAAAAATATCATTGTTCAAAAACCCTTGGCTGTCAGCTAAAATTACAGGGGCCTATCTCCAGTAATAGTGGAAGAGGGGCTGAATGTGGTCTTGCAGACAATGTGCCAACAGCAGCTCATTTTCAGAGCCTGGCGCTCCCTATCCATCCTACAACTCAGTATTCCCAAAACCTTACCCTACCTCTCTTTCTCCAGAGACCACATACACTGCCGCAGCCTGTAGTTCAATCCCTGTGATGCCTGTTGCTTAGCACATGCCCAGAGAATATGTACTCCATCATGCTCTGTCTTCCATGAGCTCAGAGGATACAGAGCAGCCCCATCTTGTGTTCTCCTGAACATATTCCAGATTCTTCTTTCTTCTATCAATCCTATGCCAACTATTGCCATCTTATAACAATTTCTCAAAATTTTCTACTAAGGGCACTTCTCTCATTTTCCAAAGCTAATATACTTTTTTCTTTTTAGTAATTCACTTTTACAAAGGATTTAGGGTTTCAGATAAGGCAAATGTGGGCGCTTGGTTTGCCATTTTGATCCCAATTGTTTTTATATTCCCAAGTAATACTGGCCTACAGATAAGGCAGAGGGGTGTGTGTATACAGACACATCAACTGTAGCTAATAGCTATATTGCTATAGCATCAACTGTAGCTAATAGATATATTGCTTACTATATCCAGCCCCTCTGCTAAAGGCAGGACTGGAGTCTGAAGATAATGTTGGCTTCATAAAACTTATTAAGTAGGTCATATGGTATTACTTTAACCTGTTCTTCAAAAGTTTGGAAAAACTCACCAATAAAACATTGTACCTATTCATATGCAGGGTAATTTTTTTGATAACTATTCTAATTTTTTAAGTGGTTCTTAGTCTTTTCAGAGCTTCCATCTCTTTTATATATAAAATGCTAACACAAAATTTGCTTGTGTTAATGGTTTATAAGTTCTCAAATCTTTTATTTAGAATTTTAAAAATTTACCATATAAAATTGATTTCTCTCAGTTGTTTTATTTTCCTTTTTACCCCAAATCTGCCCACTTTGGTTAAGAAATTTTTTTTTGCACATAAAGAATAAGCTACTATATATTAGTCAAACTATTATTTTTGGTTCATTAATTTCTGCCTTATCTTTATTTCTTTTCTCAGAGTTGCTCATTTTTTTAATATCTTAAATTGACTTCTTAGTTCATTTATTTCCATTTTTATTTAATATTAACAATAAGAGATTAGACTAAGTGCAATATAGTATTCTTGACTGGAACCTGAAACATGAAAAGGACATTAGTAGAAAAACTGGTGAAATCCTAATCTACAGTGTAGTTAGTAGTAACTTAGCAATGTTAATTTCTAATTTTGACAAATCTTTCCATAAGATATTATTCTGAGGGAAAACGGGGTGGAGTACAGGAATGCTCTATACTATCTTTCCAACTTTTCTGTAAATTTAAATTATTTCAACATAGTATGTTTACTTAAAGTAAAAAAAACTTATATAGTTTTATCAATAACTGTAAGTTCTGTTATGGGCATTCCCACTCCATGATTTCTTTAGTAATTACCCACAGAATATCATTCCTTCTTACTTTATTTTGTAGTTTTAATTTCTAGTAAATAAGGTTTTTAAAATTAAAACTTATTTTTAGTATTACTGAGAATACACTGGCAGAAGTGATTGTAAAATCTACATATTCTAGAACATTAAGTTTTCTCTGTGGCCTAATTTTCTTTCCCTCTCTAGAATGATATTTGATTCTAAAACAGTAAGTGGAAAATCACCTTATGGGGGGTGGTAAAAGATACTATGAAAAGTGTTTATAATAACTAGAGTTTTGGGGGGCTCCTGGGTGGCTCAGTCAGTTAAATGTCTGCCTTTGGCCCAGGCCATGACCCTTGGCGTCCTGGGATTGAGCCCTGAATTGGGCTCCCTGCTCAGAGGGAGAGCCTGTTTCTCCCTCTCCCTCTGTTGCTCCCCCTGCTTGTACTTAGTCTCCTATAAATAAATAAATAAAATCTTAAAAAAAAAATAACTACAGTTTTTTATCGAAACTTTCTTTTCTACTTGTGAAACAAACATAAAGGAACCTAGCAAGGATCACTGTGGCCTTTCATAACTGACAATGAGTCTTACCAGCTGCTGCTCCACGGGTGGTGGTACATCCTGACTGGCATAAACAATGGCAGGGTTGTAAAGACTGAAAACCACAGGGTAAAACACCTTCTTACCTATAAATTAAAATATACAGTTATATCACACAACAAAGTCATAAAATGAAAGACTGATCAATACCGTGTTATCAATATTTAATACTGCTATTTCTTTGGTCATATATGGTGACTTTATCAATATTGTATTTTGTCAATTTTCAGGCTACTAAACATGATGCTGATTTGATGAACATGATGATTTTATAATGTATCAGTAGCTACAAAATTTATAACCTAAAAGAGACTAAAAAACAGACTAAAGGGTATAACACACATTTACTCCATTTGACTTTGGAGAGATACACAAAAGTTTTCGGTCAGTTATTCAATAGGTGAGCTATTTACTACTCATCATTTCATCTGATTAGCAGTGACAGATGTAGGTTAACCTCTGACAATCACCAAGAACTTAGAAACGTGTTAAATCCATCCTTCAAAATGAATCACAGAAATAGTAAGTCCAAAGAATACTATAAAATCAACAGATTTGTGCACAATAATTAAAATACAGAATTGCATAGAGATTTTGGTAAGATTTGGAAAAGTTAAAAATACCTGATCTAATAGCCTCTGCAGAAAATCTTGCCATTAGCATTCAAATTGATAGCAGTGAAGGGACCTGTGAAGACTAAGGAGCCCTCAACAGAGAAGCCCTTGCTAAGATGGGCCTCAGTTAGACATGATAATATAAAGTGCTCCGTAACCATCAAGTACTTGTGGTAATGTGGCAGCCGTTCTATTACAAAATCCCTACTAGATGCTCATATCACCTTTGTTAAAACTCACTTAGGGATGGAATTTCAATTCCCAAGGAAAATCTATTTCTAGACATTAAAATATTTCTTTTACATTGAGCAAGTATGTTTCCTTCCACTTCCACATTGTGAACTTCATATTGTCTGGTGCAAAAAAAGTAAACCCAACCCTCATTTATTCACTAGGTGCTCAAAGAGTTCCTGACAATGATCCCTAATGAAAATAATTAATAGGCTAATAATTTGCATGATATGAATAGTTCTACACAAAAAGCATTTACTAGGAGTTTTTTTGGCACAGAAAATTTTCTTTTCACATTTAAAATAAGATTTGATTTATAAAAAAATCATTTGCTCATACATTTAAAAAAAATACCTATAACATAAAGCAAAGTACAGTAGATGATCCCCAAATATGTAGTATGGATGCCAAGCACCATCTGTATCTAGGCTTCTTCATGTGTGTGTGTCTCTGTTGGTACCACCTGCCTGAGGTAGAGTACTTCTTTCACACATCTCCATGTTGTCTGCTTGGCTCTTTTTCTGATAAGTGCTGCTTCCTCCTTGTCAATTTTAAGACATTTTCTTTGCTTTTGTTTATTTGTATTCAAATTTTGACAATGGATTTGGCCACAAGAGAACAGGGGTATGAACTTCAGAGGGGCAAATTTTAACTTTTCTACTTAATATTCCAGTTAAAGTATGCCTAATATAACTTTAAGAAAACATAATTAACTTGATCCAAAATATGGGACATGCTGACACTGTTCTCAATTTCTACACTCAACTCGTCTACCAAGATTTTACGCACCTGGCTCAGCATTTAACCGGCAACTGTTAAGGAATTCAGCTGAGAAATATATATCAACATCACAGAAAAACATCAAGACCTCTCCCTTGTCCCAAGCTCGGGCACCCATATTTAGTCCTCGTCCACGATTAAATTCTTCATTCAAGGAGACCAAAGTGTAATTGTGAAAATTAGACTCACTAGAAGGAAAGCATATACAACAAAGGGTAAGTCCCACTTAAAATTTAACAACTCTCTTCTTTCAACAAGACTTACAAAATATGTTTTATACTTCAAGTATTTTTCAATTTTGGTTCTACAGTCATACAGGGAAAGGAAATTATCAGCTTCACATGTATGATCAACATCAGGGACGGATATTCATGAAATGGCCATATCTGAGGCAACATGTTTGTGGTGTGAGCTTAAAAAGTGTTGAGGGATCACTGCTCCTCAGGATCTTAAAAACTTATTGGGGAGATAAGGAATATACACATGGAAAAATGGCCATAATGATTGGTAATAAACAATGCATTCCATATGAATGGTACATTCAAAGGGTGCTCTTGTGTTTTTTGGATCTTTGCTCACATGTCCTCTTATCGGAGGGATTCCCCTCATACCATTTGTGAAGTTGTCCCGACCTCCCTCTCTTTAATCTTTATCCCCCTGCCCAGCTTTGCTTTCCTCAGCAACACCAGACATGTTTGTTTGAGTGTCTCCCCCCACCCACTGGAACATAAACTCCATGAGAGCAGGCATTTTGTTTTGTTCATTATTGTGGATATAGTGTACCTCCTCAAAGAGTAGGAGTTCAATAAATATTTGCTGAATGAATGAATGAACAGCAGTTCTGAGAAAAAAGATTGCTTTTGTCTGAGAGTAGTTAGAGACTAGAGAGGTTAGAAGCAGAATTAAAGTTATGCCTTGATAAAATTCCTGAATTCAGTAGTGAGTTTAAAGGTTATTCCAATTAATTATTCTCAAAGGCAAAGAGGTAAGAAAGTAGAAAGCATTTTAGAGAAAAAAGATTAGACAAATTGGATGAGAACAAAGGGATCCTAAATTGGGAACAATGAGAGAAGACCAGAAAAGGGTCAGACTGAGGAGTAGCTTCTGTGAGAAGTTAAAAGAAGTTGGTCAGTGTCCTTGAGGCAAGGAGTTTTTCTGCCAGGGTAGTTCTCACAGGGAAGTCCCAACACCCACAGCATCAGCCTCCCCCGGGAAAGCAATAGAAATGCAAATTCTTGGGCCCCACCCCAGACCCCTGAATCAAATACTAGGGGTAATGCTGAGCATCTATGTCTCTCTTGGTAAAGTCACACCAGGGGACTCTGATGTTAAAGGTGGAGAACTGCTACGCTAGGATATGGCCAGATCAAAAAGGGTCATTTTAGGAAGATTACTCTTTATAAATGTATAGAATGGGAATGGAGAGATGGAAGCAAAGGCTCAAACAGTTTCCAGAGTGGACTCCATATGCTCCGAATGCCCACACTACCCTTCTCATGGATATCAATCTCTCCCTTCTTTTGGGAAAACTGCTGATTACCGCGTCACACTCCCACCACCAAGTGGAGGAACTAATCATAGAACACCCAAACCACAGTAATTTCCTAGAGGCAGGGACCAGACTCAAGCTGGGCCAATCATAATATCCAAATCCCACCTGGCCATAGTGACTGACTTAAGAGTGGGCAAAACTCCTTCCCTGGGCTTTTCTCAACTGGATCTGGGAGAAAGCTCTTTCCTCTCTGATGGCAAAGCTGAGAAGATGTGAGCCCAAAGCCGCCAACAGCCATATACCTCACATGTGGAAGAAGCCAATCTGCAATAGAATGAAGTCAACATGCAGAGAAAAACAGACAAGAAGACAAGAGAATTTTCATGGTGCTCAAGTCTCTGGTTCCAGTCCCTAAAATATCAAAGCTGTTTTGGTTTTTCTCCCCAAATTTGGCTGTAATAATCCCTTCAGTTTGGAGACTATCCAAGATTCTTCCATTAACACTCCCAGCTTCCTTAAGCAAGTTCAAGATGGGTATCTATCATGTGCCACAGAGGAGTCTTGAGTAATGCAGTGATAGCTTCAGTGGTACCAATGTAAGTGCCTGGCATTTAGTGGGTGACCTGAAAATGGTGAAGAGGGAAGAGAAGGAAAGAAATGAAGGAGGGGGAACCTGAGTTAGGTTGGTAGCAGTAGCAGGGAAAGGACAGGGAAAAGGTCCTGGGCAGGAAGAAAGAACTGACTAGAGGTAAAGAATGAAAGATGCTAGCTCTCAAACATGAAGCCCAGGGGATCATGAAAATGGTCTTAGTCTGAACTGAAAGAGGGCCACCAAGTGAAGCAGCTAGTGTGAAGGGGGAAGAAAAGACAGTATTTGTTTTTTAATACATGTGCTGTGAGAGTCCCTTTGGGGTAGGAACTATAACACTCTCTTCTGTGCTCATCTATTCCAACCACCCCAGTTAAGACTCCCGAGCAGTGTACCTGGAACATAGTCGGTGGGACTCAAGGAATGTTAGTTGAACAATTCGAGAAGAATGGCCAGCCAAATCTGGACTCTTAGGGAATGGCCACAACTAGCAGAAAGGTAAAGAAGCAGGTAAAGGATACAGAGTTGGCTTGGTCTGAAAAGACAATCAACCTAAAATTTTACACTGTAACATATTTACATTTACAAAATATATTCATTTTACAAACATCAGAGGAATATGTTAAGAAGGAAGTACTGGTTAGGCATCAAATGTAAAAAAGTGACCAAAGAGGATGACAGAAAAAAGGCTGAATTTGGCAGTTAGGTCAAAACTTTGGGCCTATAACTTAGAGATGAAAAGGCTGAAAAGCTATAGAATTAATGTCAGAGTATTAAGGAATTACTAATTCATTCATTCAAACCTCTGTGTACCTACTATGTGCCAGGTACTATGTGAGTTGTCTGATTAGAGAACTACTGTTCGGTGAGGTTTAGCTATGAAAGAACAGAAACCTACCAGCAGCTACTGGTACTACAGAGTCAGGTGGTGGTGGCTTAAGGACAGGAGAGACCTAAGCATTATTTGCAGGGCAAGAAGAAGGAACTTGGGAAAATGGAAGGAAAGAAAGGTGAGAAGTGAGAGAAAAGCTTAGGAGATGACATCAAAGTGAAGGGATTAGATTTAGAAAAAGGGGAAGAGTCCAACAGAAGGGAACGAAGAAGTAATAAATGGAGGCAAATAAATAGAAGGTGGCTGGGCCACAGAGTGAGAGGGCTTGGATCATGCCAGGCTGGCTGCCAAGAGGTCAGGGAAGACGAATCATTTAGAGATGCATGAGTGAACTGAGGGGTGAAAGGAGGAACTTACCAGTACCACTACTCATTTGCTCAGCCAACTTTTAAACAGCAGCTATTAAAAATCAACTCATTATGGTGTGAAGTGTGTAAACCTGGCAATTCACAGACCTGTACCCCTGGGGCTAATAATACATTATATGTTTATAAAAAAAAATCAACTCATTAAATATCTGAAATTCTCATTCTTCTAATGTTATGTATCAAGACTTCAATTTGGACATGGCTCACCAACCTTGTGACAGATTCTAGGATAGACTTGACTTTAGATAATCCTTCTTTACCAAAATACACCACTGTGAGATGAATTCTCTTGTCCTGATGAATACACACATCCCTAACAGAATTGAAAAATAAAGTTCATTCAAAAAAATATATAAGGCACTACTCATTCAGAAAGCAATCACATGAAGTTTTAACAAAACAAGTGAGGCATTACTCATTTAGAATGACACTGCATGAAGCTTTAAGTAAATATAAAAGTGGCAATATTGCTGAATTATTAATGACATAATAATATAAGCAAATGCATAACAATATAATCACATGAATACAGTCCTTGAAGGTCTACAGAAGTTGCTTTATTCCAAAATTTTGAAACTTTTGCTTTGGTATTGCCTTTAGAAGCAAATTACAAGCTACTCAAGGAAAGAAGTCTAAAAACCAAATAAATAAATATTCAAGTTGTTAGTCAAGAGTTATTTTGTCCTCAGACTGGTTAATTCCAGAAATTATACCTCTCATCAAGGAATAAGTATCTGCCATGGCTGAGATTACTTACTGTAAAGAATAATGTAGCATCTGAAAGCAATTCCAAGAAAAGCAGTAAAAAATATTTTAGGAAATCAGATCTCAGGTGAGCAATTTCAAATAGGCAAAACTCATTTGGAAGCATGATTTCTAGATATTCTGCTACAGAGCAGCATTAACTTTTATTTATTTATTTTTTTTTAAACTTTTTTTTTTTTTAATATTTATTTATTTGACAGACAGAGATCACAAGTAGGCAGACAGGCAGGAAGAGAGAGAGGGGGAAGCAGGCTCCCCACTGAGCAGAGAGCCTGATGTGGGGCTAGATCCCAGGACCCTGAGATCATGACCCGAGCCGAAGGCAGAGGCTTAACCCACTGAGCTACCCAGGCGCCCCAAACATTAACTTTTAAATCCAATGATTTCAATATGAGAATAAGGATTGGGATTATAAAGCATTAAAACTAGCATATTAAAATATTAAAAACATGGCAATTGTTAAACAAAAAGGCAAAACTTTCCTCACACAGCTACCCTGATACATACTTGTTAACATTTTAACATGTCAGCATTTAAAAATATCCAAATTTAATGACAAAAAAGGAAAAAAATTATTTTAAAAATTATTATAGTCTCTGCTTCTCAAGATGGAATAACTCTCATTTTTAGTTAAATGTTTGTATTTCTAAAATTATTTCAATGTTAAAATTCCAATTGTTCTTAGGGAATTTTCTGGAGAAAAAGCAATGACCCGTCCTGTATGTTCACTGGGAAAGCAATTATGAGCATAAAGGTTTGTCAAAAGACATGTAACCCGTACCCTTAAAATATGTGGGTTTTATTGTATGTAAATTGTGCCTCAATAAGTTATTTTTAAAAATTCAACTCATCCTAAAATGAACTCACACACAATTATAAAGTTCGTCAAATATAGTTTCTAATAGTTGTCACTCTCAATTTACTTCAAAATTCAAATTGCCAGGGAAGCCTAAGTGGCTCAGTTGGTTAAACAGTTGGTTAAGCAGCTGCCTTCAGCTCAGGTCATAATCCCAGCGTCCTGGGATCGAGTCCCACATCGGATTCCTTGCTTAGCAGGGAGCCTGCTTCTCCCTCTGCCACTGCCTGCCACTCTGTCTGCCTGTGCTCACTCTCTCTGACAAATAAATAAAATCTTAAAAAAAAATTCAAATTGCCAATAACACAATATATTATACATGCTTTAAAAAAAAAGAGTATCAAAAACTAAGATTCCCCAAAGCCTATAAAATTACTCTGGAATTCTAAGTAATCACACTCAGTGAAGATAAATTAAGCAAATCTGCATGAAATGTGATTTTTTAGAAGTGCTTAGCCAAATCATTAAGCCCTGAGAGTTACCTGAAGTTCTGCATAAACTGCGCAAATGCTTCAGTTCTTTCAGCAAGTGGCACAATGATATTAATAATTGATCTAGTAATGTCAATCATCTCGCTCTTCACTTTCATGAGAGGTCCAAAAGGGCGGAAGAGGGTCACATGCCTATATTCCATAAGGTCTGCTTTCTTAAAAAAGAGTTCATACTGTGTGCCCTTATCTCTCTCGGTGCGATAATAACCTAAAGGAAAGAGTTAGGGACAAAGATGTCTCCATGTCAAAGTTTATAAATTCAATGTGAATATTGATTTTACTCAAAGATCAAAAGTACAAAACCAGACATGTAGTGTTTTTAATCATTTTGTGAAAATAATTATCCCTTTTGTACAGTTGAAAACAATTATTTCTTTAAAAGGAGAGGTTACAAAAAATGTTCACTCCTCTATTATTAGTCAATTCATAAATATGTTCCAAATCACAATTATTCCTTTTTACATATGACTTTTTTAGTAGTAGAGCCTATCAACACAGTAATCATATGATGAAAATAAATTACTTCTACCAATACTAAATTCTAGACCTGAGAGTCAAAACTTCTATTGCTTGGTTCAGTTCAACTAAAATGAATGGAGTGCCTTCATGTCACTCATTGGTGGTATAAAGAGGGCTATACAGTCCTGGTTTTGAGGAACAGTCAGTCTAGTGAGGGAGACAGAAAAATAAGGAAATAAAAACAATACAGTGATACATATTTCACTCTACAAACACACACACACACACACACACACACACATACACACTCACTCTCTCTCTCTCTCTCTGAAGAGAGTGAAGTCAGACAAAGAAAAATTAGTACAGATTTAAACATGGTGATTTGAGGTAACTTCAGGAGAAAAGTTTGGAAGTCTCCTGGGCAATCTATTTTTAAATGTACATTCAGGAGAGAGGGAAGACCTATAGATGCGTGAGTCAGTCAATATCTGGGAATAAAATAATGAACGAGATAGACCAATCCACTCTCTCCTGAGGCTGACAACAGCTTAAGAGAACTACAAATCAGGAAATGGGCAACATCATATACTATGACAAGTACTATGAGAGGGGACACAGGTAGAGGTTATAAGAGAATATAGGAAGTACTGTTATCTTAAGACTTGCAGGTTAGAGATGACTTCTAAGTGAAGTGATATCTAAGCTAAAGTCTGGAAAAGGAATAGGACTTACTGAATAATGAGTATTTTTTATTTTTGCCAGGGGGGTAGCAGAGTGGAAGAAAAGTGGGGGACAAAATTATGTTCCATGCAGAGAAAAATCCTGTCAGTGAAAGAATCAAAAGAGAGTTATAAGATAAGCAGAAGCTGTAGAATATAAAACTGACATGGCTTCCTTCCTTTATTAAGGCAGATGTGAAGACATTTTATACTTTAGTGAGTTATTTCCTTAGCAGCTTTCAGTTCTGCTATAAGCTACAAATATGGTAAAAAGACAAAAAGCTGAATTTGACAAAAAATTCCAAGAGTTTTGACAGAAACAGCCCATTCAAAATTGCACTAAGTGACAACAAAAAAAAGAAGTGACTACAATGAAAAGACAGCTGAAGTACCACGGAAAGCACAATGCCCTTCCTGATGGCCTCCAAAGGTCTTAAGGTGCTACTACACTGTAGTATAGCAAGTACTATCCATGATGATTCAAGCCCAAAGAAATTACATGTGGTATACTGTTCATAAAATCAAGCAAAGAGAACTTTCAAGACAGATTTATATCCAAAATGGTTTTAAGTTTGTCACTAAATATCTGGCAGGAGATATTAAGATGGAGATGGGTGGGGATCTGTATTTCTATTTATACCAATCAGCAAATATCTTAAGTTTACAGAAGTGTTCCTCAACTTTTGAGTCATACTTCATCTTGATATGTATACATTCCATGCCCTTTCTGCAGTCTGTATTAGGAAAACAGGTTATTTCTTTACTTTTTCAAATACCAAATTTGCTTTTCAAAACTATATATGCCCCCTTGATGTTCTGACATGTGGTTCTCCTCCCCCTAAAATACAGAATCACCATCAATCTACTAAATTAGGGTTTTTTTCCTTCCTTTATCAAATGGTTTTCAAATCACGAACCTTAGTTCATATATTTTGAAAAATACAAAAAGGGAACATCAAGACCAGATAAGAATGCAAAAACATACATGTAGAAATACATGTATAGCCCTAAGAGCCCTTCAACTTGAGCCCTGTATAGTATATTCTTCTATATAAACTTAGATTTATTCTATTTCCCTGTCCTCTATTTTATTATGGTCACATTATAACTTTTTTTTAAAAAGCCACTTCAAATTCAATATTTGAGTAAAAACTCAAATATTTTAATACTGTAAATAATGACTGACTTATAATACCAGCATAGAGTAATAGAATTGTCATACTAACATAATTATGGATCAACATATTTTTCACATTACCTTCTATGAAGTCATTTTCATTAAATACCATTTTCTCTCCAAGGGGACCATCTTCATCTTCCTGTTCATCATCTTCATCAGGATTATTAATGACCTCCAAGCCAGCTTCAATGACTTCTACCAATTCATCTCGCTTGTCTTTTCTAACTGGCTTTTCCTCAGGATGGCGAGTGAGACCCATTTCCAACTGGAATACTTTCATTAAGGTAAAACTTTCAAAGGGAATGACTCCATACTCACTAGGTAATTTGGCTCCTATGCTAACTTCAGCTTTGTCAATTTGGGAATGAAGAAATTCTAAAAGATCACTAGGTGTTTGTTCCTTGTTGCCTTGATAGCCTATGCCATTAGCCCCCACACTTTTTCTCTCTTGCAGTGATCTCATCTTCTCACTCATTTCTTGCAATTCTTGTTTTAATTGGGCAATTTGACGTTTTAGACTGGTAGCCCTGGTTTGATAATGTTCTTCTTGCTCCTGTAGGAGGGCTTGATAATACTCTTTACCATAATTTTCCCCAACAACACCAGGAAGAGGTGCATTTCCATCAGTTTGGGGGGCACATTCCAGGAGGTACAAAAATAATACCAAACTGCAGAGTAAAGCGAGACCCAAGAGTAGCCAGTGGGTCCGGGTCTGAAGAATCAATCCTCTTCTAGGCATTCTTATTAATGTGGACTTGCCTAACAAGATAAGTTCTTTGGTTGTTCATACCTTTGCAAAAAGTTATCAAAAATTAACAAAATCAGAATTTCCATTAAAGGTAACAAAATGAACTCTGTTATAGCTTAAAAAATTTCTTCCTTCAGCAGTGAAGACTACTTGCAGAAATGAGAAATAGTGCATACTTCCTGTATTGTTATCATGATATCCAGAATAATGAAATCTTATCTATAGAATCAGATAAAATTCCATAATATGGGTGGTGATTTTCCTGAAAAAAACAGATAGAGTCGATCAGAGTTGATCAGAATCTTTTTTTTTTTAATTTTATTTATTTATTTGACAGACAGAGATCAAAAGTAGGCAGAGAGGCAGGCAGAGAGAGAGGAGGAAGCAGGCTCCCTGCCAAGCAGAGAGCCCGATGCGGGCTTGATCCCAGGACCCTGTGATCATGACCTGAGCCGAAGGTAGAGGCTTTAACCCACTGAGCCACCCAGGCACCCCAGAATCTTATTTCTTTAAGTGTATCAAATTGTTGGTAGTTTCGATAAACTTAGTGATGTGACTACTCTGTGTAGAACACCATGAGAAGTGCTAATACAATGTAGAATATTCAGTAAATGCTCGAAGAAAATATTAAGAGAAATATCTTATAAAACACTAAAATCCCACATTTAATACTTTTAACCACAATGTCTACACAACCATAACCTCCTGAATGAATCAAAGAAGCATTTAAATTATGTTTAGCATACTTTGTTACAGAGATATTACTGTTTCTAATTATTTGAAAATTTTAACATTTATAACTCTTTATTAACACAATATTTAGATTAATATGCCATTTCCCGCCTAGTGTATATCACTATTTGGGAACTGAGTTTCCATAAATTGTTTTTTTTATATTGATAATGGCTTATTAGGGACAGATATTTTCTTGAGTTTATTCAATTCAAGCATTCTATTTCATTAATTTCTATGGCTGAACCCAACCAATAAAAGAGCCTTAAAATTAAGTATGTGTGTTAGGGGAGAGACAATTCCAAAAGGTCACAGACATCTGGAAAACACATTAAGAAACATTTTTACATCCAAAGTCCTCCCATAGATTATTTGAGCATTAGATCACCTAATTCTTTCCACTGTATTACACAGCACCAGATTTCCTACAAGTCTGGAAAGGTTTAGAGTCTATTTAAAGAAAAAACAAGACCATTTTAATGTTTATCTACTGGGAAAAAAATTAAAAAACCATTTAAAATAAATGTAAAATCACACACTACTGTTCATACTATAACCAGTTGTGTGAGCTCTTCCATATTTCTTTTTAAACTAAGAATCCTTAATTTTATGAGTAGAGAATGTTAAATTTAGGAGACAGGAGGCCTCCACTGCAGAGAGAACTTTCATCCTAACAACGTATTTGTCAAGGATGTGTGATACTCCAGCGGGATTTTTTTTTTTTTTTTTTTAAGATTTTACTTATTTATTTGACAGAGAGATCACAAGCAGGCAGAGAGGCAGGCAGAGAGAGAGGAGGAAGCAGGCTCCCCTAGAGAGCAGAGAGCCTGATGCGGGGCTCGATCCCAGGACTCTGAGATCATGACCTGAGCCGAAGGCAGCGGCTTAACCCACTGAGCCACCCAGGCGCCCCTCCAGCGGGATTTTAATAGAGATGGTTTCTACCAGTGCAGCAGAACTTATGGGAACTTATGGGGGAACATCAGTCCTAGTCACCTTCTCAGTGATTAGGAAAGCCTTAATGCCTTTTCTTTTTCCTTTTTTTTCCTTGTGGCACATATCTGTATAAAAATGCAGGATAGATTCAAACTTCTTATAGCTAGTAGACCAAATAATGGACTTAAGTACCCTTAACCACTTATTACTTTCAATAAACAAATGATAACCAAGTATCATGAAAATTTTAATCTACTACAAAGAAGTTTTAATATGATGCCATTTGTTTTATGATTGTAAAGCTTGTTTTAAGTGATGCAGAAAAAAATAGGAAAAAATTTTGGTATAAAGAGAAGTATCTAATTAAAAAATAAGAATGCAAAGTTAATATTAGTCCTAGGACTTTACCACGTCTCAAAACCATAATTCTTAGCATAAAAAATAACTTGAGTATCATCATTTGAAAGCTAAAACTCAGAGGTATCTCCTTTAACTATTTTAAGTTCTTACTAGCCTGCTTGTTAGGGGAAAAAAAGACTAAAACTGAAAATGCAGAGTCATAATCTTGTAGAAATTATTAATAAATTATACATATTTGACTAGGTTCCAGGTAGTTTTGCTGTAAGCATATTTGTGACAAGCATTTTCACTGCATAGCTGATAGGCCATAAGGCAATCCTGTAGAAGACTAAAAAATAACTGGCTGACAGTTTGGTTTCACTGCTCCATTGACACAGTACTCCTGTTTTTATATTATATAAATCTCAGCCCTCATAATGATCTATACAGTGGCAGAGTTTTGAACCCACATTTCCTATAGAACTTTGGAATGTTTATCAATGGACACCTGGTAATATGCCAAGAACAAACAACAGTGTAGAAGGCTTTCACAATACAATAGGAAGCTCAGTTACAAATATATATTCTAGTATTTGGAAATTGATGCCTCTTTAATGAAAGAAACAACTTTCATGAAAAAAGAAAGTGCGATGCTGAACAAGGGCATGAATCAATAAGCAAAAAAAAAAAGTACTACACTATGAGCAAAAGACTATGAACACAAGTGTTTAGGTACAATCCACAAAATAAAATCAGTTATTTATATAATATTGCCATGAATCTACAAACATTTTAAAATATTCTGTATTTTACAATAGTCTTTTAAATTTTGTTCTTCATTTTTCATGTTTCATATGTCCTTTTTAATAAATGTCCCTTCTTTTTCATGATTTTGATTTATGGCCAATTAGCTATGCAGGTAAATGCTTATGGTAAAGGTGCTAATTGCAAAAATAACTATACTATACTCAAACTATTTTGAAATGAAACTTGAAAAAGAACTAACAGTATGTTAGTTCTAAGTATCTAAGTATCTTAGAGGTACTTAGTATCTAAGTATCTAAGAGGTACTTAGTATCATCTAAGTACCTCTACCTTTTATTAATATGGTACTTCATGGTTTTTTTTTTTCATTATATAGACAATATATTTTAAACTGTGAGATATGATCCATTTAATGGGTCACTAAATACAGGATTACTTTTCAATGAAAAAGACCAGGAAATATCAGTGTACACCACATATAATAAGTTTTGTATTGCAATTATATATATATGTATATGTATGAGATCTCTACATAAAATGTATTTATAAGAGAGCTGTGGTCTAAAAATCCTGAAGAATCCTGGTTTATAAAGTATTTTTACATATTTTCTATGTCATCTTTTTAAAATGATGTGGATATTAACTTCATTTTGGATAGGAACAATAAGCTAAAAAAAATGAAAGGTGTAAGTAAGGTTCTATAACTATTGAGTGGTATTATTAAAGCTGAGTTCTTCATTTTCCCCTCCCTTAAGCAAAATACAGGTTTTGCAATACTTTACATGCTTATCTTACAGTTATATCTTTTACAGTTGAATATTACCCACTGAAACAAAAGAAAAGTTGCTGTAATTACTTTAGAATATAAATGTTATTTGCATACCTCTGTGGTTGTTAAAAATAAAAGGTATCAATTATAGTCTTTTTTTTTAACAATACAATTTTTATGAAATTAATTGTAAACCACAAACACAATTTTTTTTTCAGGGAGGCAGACCATGCTTATTTTCTTTACCGTCTGCCATCAATAGCAATTAAAGTCTTATTTGCCTAGTTCTTGAAGGGAACTCTTTAGCCAAATCCTAGAAGACTAGATTATAACAGTTCTAAATACATTAACATGTTGGAGAAAACATCAATTTTTCAGCTGTTACACCTTGACTGTTGTCATTCTATGTAATGTGTTCATATCATAAATAAGATTCACTTGTAACCCAGAGTTAATCTCAAGCACCTTTCTATGCACAAACAGCAAATAGTTAAGTGGTGTGAGGAGAGAATGAGATAACTGTGGAGATGGGAAAATGAGCTATTAAAGATATAGAACACAAAATCATAGATCTCAGAGTTGAAAGAAACCCTAGGAGCCATTAATTATTTTTTTAAGATTTTATTTATTTGACAGACAGAGATCTCAAGTAGGCAGAGAGGCAGGTAGAGAGAGAGGAGGAAGCAGGCTCCCCACTGAGCAGAGAGCCCAATGCAGGGCTTGATCCCAGGACCCCCGGACCATGACCTGAGCCAAAGGCAGACGCTTTAGCCCACTGAGCCACACAGGTGCCCCAGGAGCCATTAATTTTCTTACTCTTTAAGACAGACTAAAGAGACTTCCTCTTATAGCCTAGATAGAACAACAGGGACCAGACTTACCCCTGTACTTAAAACAATAAAAAAACCAACCAATAAAATCCAAAATCTGCCCCTCCCAATATAAAACAATGGTTTTCAAGATACTGAACATTAGGTAATAAACTACAGTGATCCTTGGTAGAAACAAGAAACAAATGATTGCCCAGCTTACTGCCTTAGTTTCTAGGCCATATCACAGGGAGTCCCCTCCTAAGTAGAGCCCAGGTGACTTGTTGAGTTGATGAGATGAAGCTGGCAGTCTGAGGAGATCAAGGCAGCTAGGTTGAAAGGGTACAGTACCAGAAGAGAGAGCCACATAGAGAGAGAGAACAAAGATCTGAAGAGCACACCCTTTAGGTACTGAGCAGAGCACTGACAAGTGCAGGCATATAAAGAAACTAACTAAAGCTTAAAAAAAAAAAAATTAGAAGACACAGAACTCAGCATTCATAAAGGGCCAGGAATAATGTGCATGTTCCCACCAGATAGACTGGAAAACCTCAAATTCATGGGGCATTGGGTACAGTACTCAAAAAGGTCTTGCCTCAGTAATGGGAAAAAATTAACTCTAGACTAAACATGGCTCTGGTCTTGCCTAACAAATCTTAAAAGCAAGACCTGAAAGGATCAAATTGTTTTCAAGTTAACTGCACAAGAAGCCTCAAAATATTTACAGGAATATAAAAATATCTAGCACCCAGCAAAATAAAATTCACAATGTCTGACATCTAAACAAAAATGATCAGGCATACAAAGAAAAATAAAAACAGAACCTATAATGAGAATCATCAATGACTGAAACTGATCTAGAGCTGACACAGATGCTAGAATTCATAGAAAAGGACATTAAAATTGTTATAA